GGCGCCCCCCTCGCGCACTTCAGAGCCTTGCGCTGCCCCCCCTTCAGCGCACCAGAGCCAGGCAGCGAGGGCGAGGCGCACTTGCGGTCCAGCTGTGGTGTGCAGGGCAGCAGAAGCTCTTTGGTGTGCGGGGGTGGGGGGGCGGGGCGCAGTTTGGCACCCCTGAGGGCCGGCGCGCCCTAGGCGAGCACCTAGTTTGCCTAGCGGGCGAGCCGGCCCTGCAAAGGTCCCAGGTTCAATCCCCGGCATCTCCAGTTAAAAAGGACCAGGCAGGAGGTGATGGGAAAGACCTTTCTCTGGGGGAAGACCTTCCTCTGCCTGAGACCCTGGAGAGCCGCTGCCAGTCTGAGTAGACAAGACTGACTCTGATGGATCAAGGACGGTCTCATTCAGTAGAAGGCATCTTCATGTTTTCATGCTTTCTTTTGTGCAGTGTTCTAGCAGAAGGTCTAAAATGGGACTTCACATGTTCAAGGCCTGGGTAAAAGCCCCTCTGTTTACATTTAACTTAAATCCTTTTATTTGCCCCAAGTCAAGCACTTTGAGGAACTGTCCGGAACAAAAAACACCGGGTGGATCTACTGAATGTCTCCAGACACTTCCTACCTCCCCTGCTTATTCCGCCGCCCCCAATTTTATTCCTTTGCTTCATATGTCCCTCACCTTTCTCCCCAGTGGGGCCCAAAATGGCTTACATCTTTCTCCTCTCTTCCATTTTATCCTCAAATCTGTGAGGTTGGTTAGGATGAGAGAGTGTGAGTTCCTGTGGCAGTGTGGAGGTTCGACCAGCCAGCCTCAACAGCCGAGCGGGAGATTCGATGCTGGGTCTCTCAGACCCTTGCCCGACACTCTGACCCCTGAACCCCAACCGATCTGGTCCCTACCTTAGCGAGCGCCTCGTCCTGCGGATCCATCTTCGCGATAACCAGACTGTGTCCTGGATCCGGAACCCGTTGCCAGCACCACAAGGGCAGGACTTTGCGGAAGAAGCTCAGGAACCTGCGGAGCAGAGAGACGTCTGCGCCTGGAGCCATCAACAAATGCTCGGCGGGGTGGGGAAGAAGGTGGGGATCAGCGCTCCCTCTAAGCTGAGTCAGTGTGAGCCAGCTCACAGTTTTCTAGCCTCCGGCTCACGCATTTTTGTCTCCGCTCAGGAAGGAGGGCTCCAGAGCAAAGTAATTGCTGCAGCAGCCAAACCGCTCGCTCACAAGTTTAATGCCAGTGGCTCACAAAGTAGAATTTTTGCTCACAAGACTCCACAGCTTAGAGGGAGCATTGGTCAGGAGCAGTGTTCCCCCTAAGCTGAGTCGGTGTGAGCCGGCTCACAGATTTTTAGCCTCCGGCTCACAATTTTTTTTGGTCTCCGCTCAGGAAGGAGGGCTCCAGAGCAAGCTGACTGATGCAGTAGCCAAAGCACAGGCTCACAACTTTAATGCCAGCTGCTCACCAGGTAGGATTTTTTTGCTCACAGGGCTTTATAGCTTACAGGGAACATTGGTGGGGGATCGGTGGCCATGCCAGCCCCAGATGCTGGGCAAGGCATCGTGGGGCAAACCCGTGTCCCCTCAACCCAAACAAATCCCTCCCCGACCCCCCCCCCCCAATGTGATGTAGCACTTACCATCCACGCTTCAGGAACACCACCACGACGGCAAGGAGGAGCAGGAACCCCACGCTCAAGAGGGCCGCCAAGTAGACCTGCCAACGGGCACCTGAAGGAGATTCCAGGGACGGGCACTGAGGTCAACCTCGCCAGCCAGTGACGGCTGCCAGTTCCTCCCTCCACCCCAGCCCATATCAGTACCTACGAGGCAGCGCCCAACACCCCCGCATGATAAAGGATCAAATTCGGCTATCGGGATTGGAGAAGGCATTCTGTTATTATTATTTTTTTGTCTTAGCCTATAATACGTTTTTATTATAGCCAGTTTGGCATAGTGGTTAGGAGCGCAGACTCTAAACTGGGAGAACCGGGCTTGATTCCCCGCTCCTCCCCTTGCAGCTACTGGATGACCTTGGGCAAGCCATAGTTCTGATAAGAGCTGTTCTTGAAAAAGAGCAGTTTCTGTCCGAGCCACCTGCCTCACAGGGTACCTGTTGCAGGGAGGGGAAGGCAAAGGAGTTTGTCAGCCGCTCCGAGACTCCGAGGTGAAGGGCGGTGTCATGATCTGGGCTGTGCCACCAGAGGCCTACTAGGCCCAGGGAGCCTGGCTAGCAGTAGGTGAGGCTGGGCCTACAACTCCCAGAAGCCCCTGAGAGGTTTTGGAGCCAAAATGGACCAATAGGAAAAGAGGAGGGCTTGGAATAAAAGATCTGGAGCAGCAGGAAAAGCTGTTCTTTCTTCCAGAGGGCGGAGCCGGAAGGAAGGCTGCTGCAAGGAAGAGGGTCTGTTATCATTCTGCACCTTGTTGTTTGACCTCCTATAAAATAAACCTTTTCCTTGTTTCACTCTGCCTGGTCCTCACGCCTGTTATTTGGCCAAAAGGGGGATCTGAAGGTCTTGGGAGGGTGCTCTGGGCCTTCTCAAGGGAGCCTGGAGCCAGAGTGGTGGCAGCGTCAGGTGACACCCCCACCTGAGCCATGATAGGCAGAGTACAAATCTAATCTCTTCTCTTCTTCTCTTATTTTCTATACTATCACCTACGGCGAATAGCTAGATAAGACCCTAAATATTCTTATTTCTTTTCCATTATCGGTTTCTTAAGAAAAGAAGTCTATTACCACCATGGCGCCCAGGGGCACCTGCCAGGGCCTTTTGTGGTGCCCATCAAGTCTTTTTAAAAAGTGGGCAGGGCCAGTGGGGACTTTTACCCAGCAAGACTTCTGACTGGCCACCGGAGATCTGATTGGTTGTGCCCATTTTTTAAATCACAATTTAGGACTGCTTTAATCCAACGCAGTCCTGATCTTATTTTCTATACTATCACCTATGGCGAATAGCTAGATAAGACCCTGAATATTCTTATTTCTTTTCCATTATTGGTTTCTTAAGAAAAGAAGTATATTACCACCATGGTGTGCAGGGGCACCTGCCAGGGCCTTTTGTGGTGCCCATCAAGTCTTTTTAAAAAGTGGGCAGGGCCAGTGGGGACTTTTACCCAGCAAGACTTCTGACTGGCCACCGGAGATCTGATTGGTTGTGCCCATTTTTTAAATCACAATTTAGGACTGCTTTAATCCAACGCAGTCCTGAATAAAACCATCTTCATCCGCCTCCTAAGGATCCAAAGAAGGAGTCCCCAACCTGCCGGCACCTTCTCTGGTGTCCGGCAAGTATAATTAGGAAGTGGCCGTGGCCAGGAAGGGCTTTTGCCCAGCAAGACTTCTGATTGGCCACTGGAAATTCGATAGGCTATGTAGATTTTTTAAAATGTTGCTTTGGCAGCAGCTGCCACCGACAACACAAAAGACCTTCAGTCTGTGACCGTAGTTATGCCGGGGCAGCCATTTTGTGACCGGCTCCGCCACCTGTGGCGTCCATTTTGTGGCTTGTTCCGTCTCCTCGGGCAGCCATTTTGTAGCAGCCATTTTGTGGCTGTACCCGCCACCCTGTCTCGGGATTCCAAAGGTGCCTGCTAGCCTCCAACGCTTGAGGGAACCCTGCCTTAGAATACGAAACAAACAGAACCTCGGACGGAACTATCCCCACCGGAGCAGGACGGCTCGCAAGAGACAGGAAACGGTCCACCCCTTTTCCACCCAGCTCGGGGTATCCCTAGTTCCTGGAGACTCTTCTCCTTTGAAAGGTCCTCGAGATCTGAGTTTCTTCTGGGGCGCAGATCCTCCACCAGCACCACGCTCCGTGTCTTCCGGCCACAAGCCGCCCAAAGCTTTTAGCGGGACAACTTGCAGCCCGCCCTCCTTACCGGGAGTGTGGAATCCGTGCACAGGAGTGGGGGGGCCTTCCCCGGCAGAGGTGGAACCCGTCATCCAGAGCTGGTAAAAAGACCCGGGCTCCAGTCCCTCCAGTGTGTAGCTCCTTCCTCCAGTGTCGACTGCAAACGGGAAGGGGGGAGAGAGGGAGAGATGGTCAGGCGCTTTAGACCAGGGGTGTCGAACTCATTTGTGATGAGGACCAGATCTGACATCAGTGAGACCTCGCCGGGCCGGGCTGTATGTGTCATAAAAGGTAATGCCAGGTAGCGGAGAGATAAACTTTATAAAGGACACAAACACAAAGCTGTTTTTTTAAAAAAACTTAAAATAAGAACATGCTTAAAACGTGAGCACTCTTGCAATATTTTGTTTCTTTAACAGTGTCTCATAAATGACACCTCTGGCTCTAAACTATTGCATCGATACTCAGAAAAGATGTGTCTTCTCATTTCACAAGTATTCCATGCTTTTCCATCAATTTCCTCAAGGAGAAACGCACTCTCATCCACTAATTTTCCAATTTTTCACAAGAGCGGGCAAGTCAAGGGGAAGGCCTCGGCCTCCCGGCCCTGTTGCTGGCCCTCCAGAGGGACTGGCTGGCCCCTGTGTGAGACGGGAGGCTGGACTAGATGGACCCTCCCTGGTCTGACCCAGCAGGGCTCTTCTGAAATCCTTCTCAGGGGAAGGCCCCGGCCTCTCTGCCCTGTTGCTGGCCCTCCAGAGGGACTGGCTGGCCCCTGTGTGAGACGGGAGGCTGGACTAGAGGGACCCTCCCTGGTCTGACCCAGCAGGGCTCTTCTGGTGTCCTTCTCAGGGGAAGGCCTCGGCCTCCCTGCCCTGTTGCTGGCCCTCCAGAGGGACTGGCTGGCCCCTGTGTGAGACGGGAGGCTGGACTAGAGGGACCCTCCCTGGTCTGGCCCAGCAGGGCTCTTCTGGTGTCCTTCTCAGGGGAAGGCCTCGGCCTCTCTGCCCTGTTGCTGGCCCTCCAGAGGGACTGGCTGGCCCCTGTGTGAGATGGGAGGCTGGACTAGAGGGACCCTCCCTGGTCTGACCCAGCAGGGCTCTTCTGGTGTCCTTCTCAGGGGAAGGCCTCGGCCTCTCTGCCCTGTTGCTGGCCCTCCAGAGGGACTGGCTGGCCCCTGTGTGAGACGGGAGGCTGGACTAGATGGACCCTCCCTGGTCTGGCCCAGCAGGGCTCTTCTGGTGTTCTTATCAGGGGATGGCCCCGGCCTCCCTGCCCTGTTGCTGGCCCTCCAGAGGGACTGGCTGGCCCCTGTGTGAGACGGGAGGCTGGACTAGAGGGACCCTCCCTGGTCTGACCCGGCAGGGCTCTTCTGAGGTTCTTATGCCGCAGGTTATGCTTCTACGGGAAGGATGCCACAGTTCCAGAGAGAAGCTATTCCGTTGCCTCATGGGAACAGCCATGAGAAACAACTGGTGGCAGGGACCTGAAGGAGGATGGATCCCGCCCATCTTCCCCCAACCACCCCGACTCCAGACAACTGTCGAGGTCTGACTCACTGGGCCCGTATTCTTTGGGGTTCCTGGAGGTGGAGAGGTTCAGGTAGATTGTGTAGTGGGTGAGGTGCCCGTGCTGATTCGCCAAGGGTATCTCTTCCCAGACGACGAGGGAGACTGTCGGGGAAACACTTTGGTCTTGCACTGCCCGGGGTCCGGCGGACGGGACTGCAAAGACAGATATCGGCCGGGGTTAGGAAAGAACAGCAAGAAACTCTGGCACAAAAATGCATTGATTAATCGGTATAATCTGACGAAAAGGACTTCGATGGGGATCGTGTCAGAGGGAAGCCCCATCAGTCTCCAGGAGAACAGTGAGATTCAAGTCCAGGAACACCTTCGAGACAGCGAAATTTTCAGGGTACGAACGTTCGGGCATCGAAGCTCTCAAAACCTGGCAATCCTCCTCAGACCCACGCTGTTGGAAAGGCTGTGGCGCGATTGGTATGTTTAAGCACTGCTGGAGGGATTGCCCCTCTATTGCTAATTTTTGGTCAAAAATCCTAGTATTGATCTGGGGTCATTTCGTAGAAAAAGAGGTGCAGGAGCTCATTAGCATAACTCATTTGCATATGCCACACCCCCTGACATCACCAGAAGTGTGTCAGAAGGCAACACCCACCGCTCAGGCTCCACTGGACTGTTTTGGATTGCTAGCTATGGGGGGGGGGAACGTGCAGATCTGTCCCCGCAGAGGAGGGGGAGCTTGTGCCTGAATAAAACCTGGTCTTAAAGGTGCCACTGGATTGTTTTGGATTGCTAGCTATGGGGGGGGGTGAACGTGCAGATCTGTCCTCACAGAGGAGGGAGAGCTTGTACCTGAA